TAGGGTAAATTTCTATAACTACTGAAGCCTCTTTTGAGTACATTTAACAATATTGTGTAAGGAATGGTGAACTTTGCACAAAACTGCAAATGACCATGAGAAGAAGAAAAAAAGTTAACCATTAGAGTAAATGTAATCCCATTCTAAAAGGGTCCAGTGTACTGCAAGAAAGTTATCTGAAACCTAAACTAAGAGTTACGATGAAGATAAGTGATAGAGCGACCTCTATCCTGTCCCAAGTTAATCCGAAGTTAAGCATCATAGTCTCTTTAGATGAAAGATACACATATTATATATGATAATGAACCCATGTACACATCCACTCATTGATCAGAACATTTCTTCACAACAGGGGATAAGCTTACTCTTTACAAAATATGTATGCGATCCTCCCTTGAATATTGCCCCTTTACCTTCTCAAACATAAATACACAGACAAGAGTAGATGTCCAAGTACGCTTCACCCACCGACTGCTAGGATGTGACTCCACTCTTAACTACACAGATAGATGTAAGCACATCTCCTTAGAACCTTTATGATATCGTCGGCCGACGAATAATCTAATATTTCTATACAAAGCAATATATGGACTCTCATTTCTAACCTCCTACACAACCATGACTTATAACCCACTCTACAGACTCAGAAACAACACATATACACTGCTTACACTTACACACCGTAAAATATTTCGTTGTAAGGTTTTTACAGTACGGTATAGTTTATTATGGAATGGGTTGCCAATGCCAATCCTTAACCGTGACACTATCATCAAGTTCAAACGACTAATATCACTATTACTTGACACTAAAGAGCTTCATCAACTTCCGACCACCAATGGGGCGCTTTATTATGGCCCGTCTAATATCTAGACCGATCATGAATATAAAAGACCACCATTATCATTAATATCGATATAACTAAATGATAAAACACATGGTTTACCCTCTCTCATTATTCATTGATTATTAGTTACACCCTTATGTTTCTACTCCTCACTTTCAGATTCCGAATCTCTCTAATGGTTAAAATTGTATTAATCTCCCTAAGTGTCATGTTCTTTTTTCTATTACAAGTAGACGAATAACCATCCAGCTCAGAGAACAAAACACCACCAAAGACGAATAACTTACTAATCTCATGGATGCTGATCAACTAGGGCCGATCATAAGAAGCTCAAAGTGTCCTAAATTCTTGTGGGTCGCCCAATGTGTTGTTTTCTTACTGCGAAAACTGTACAATTTTAAACTCTTGCATGTTCTTGATTTACTACCGATCTTTACCATCTCTAAACCACATATAATCTGACCTAGGTATTTTAGCTTTTACCATTAGTCATCGTCATAGCAGAGTGATATACCAAACGGATATCTAGCCCACAATACAGAAGCTTTAACCGTCTGATTTGCTTGTAACATGGAACTAGTAGAGACAGCGTATTCGAACAAGGAGTTTAGATTAGAGCAATACTCATACACACGACGAACGTAGGAGAGCCTATCATCACTAAAGAAGAGAGGGTAGCGTCACTGAACAGCAAACATGATGGTGAGGAAATAACTTCAATCCGCCCATGTCTCTAGTGCAGAACATTTTTTAAATTATGGCTCCTTATGATCACGTAGGATGTCACGAACCAATGGCAATAATGTTAATTTACTATACAAAATACCTTCTTAAATCGTGCTTGTGCCGTTGGATCGGTTTCACTTCCTACCGAGTAATCCTATGACAAGCAAAACTGGACAATTCGCTAAAAATGAAGCTTGCTGATGACCCTATTGAACCAATAAAATTAAATATGAGCTGTATTAGCTTCGACAAAAGAGGGAGATAGACATTTGTGTATCAGAATACCGTTTTTAGTGCTACATTTTAAAACTTCACATAATCCTATACTTGCAGTTCCTTTTCGAACCACCTCCATTTATCCAGTTCTTTGTCCATTCACACTATATTTACAATTGTTTTCTTTAACCTATTAGAATGCTCTTGCTTAAAAAGTACCTTAATAATAGAAAATCAGGCTTAGTAGTTATACTTTCACTATTTCACTGCAAATGACTCAATTTCAATATGCATGTACATTGTATGCTTTGCTTGTCGTCCATCCTTTTGTTACCTTCTTTTTTAGCCATCTCAAGATATGCCACCGAAAACACATATGGAACGGGTAACTACCCTGCGCCATCAATAATGCTTCAGATGTTTCAGATGAATATGAGGTCACGGTCTATAGAAGATCTCAAACTTACGTGGATGTAGTCCCAACTATCAGTTCTTAACATTTATCCACAGTCAGATGCATTTAATTAAGACACAGGGCACTCCTCTTTTAGGATTGTATACTACTGTTTTGCAGGCAACTAAAAGCACAGACACTTAGCTATCCTGCTACCAATGTTAACGCTGGGGGAATCGTTTAATGACAGTGGTCTTGAAATATGGTCAGTGATAGATGTACAGTCTACAAATAAACACCAAACACACTTATCGCTATCTTATCATGTATGACAGCAATAGCGTCAAAGGCACCTTTCTCCTATTTTTAATCGGACTGATTTGAATCAGTATACTCATTAAAGACAGGCAACTCTACTTACTAAACTGATCTGTTTCGTTACAGGCTTCAAGCGTTATACTTAAGTATATTATAATTCTATAGACTAAACTGAATTATACGACATCCAAGAATACTAAACTAAGCAAGTGTCATAATTATTGTTTTATTTGCACAGACATGTTACTCAAAGTAGTTAAATATACATAGTTGAGCCGATAAACCAAAACCACGAACTATAGGCCAGTCAACATTACCTAACAGGAGACAAAGGATATTGTTTCGAGGCTAAATACAACAGTCAGTTGCTCATAAGAACATAATTTACAACACAACAAACCCTCCTTCAATAACATTATACACTGACGAAAACAACCAGTGATGTGGTTAAACTTACTATGACATGGCATATGAACGTACAGTGTAGCGCAGTAAAACATGGTGAATAAAAACTACAACCAGAGCAATCAATCTGTGATATAGATTGTTTTCCTACACTCACCACTCAGATTCGTGTTTCCAATTTTATGCTGGACTAGCTATTTTACTAAGACAACCTATAACATGCTAACTCGGACTTTTACACTAGGATTGTGTGGCTGGCTTTGGATGGACAAAATAGGAAAGAAAAAGTCAGACAGTAAAAGATATAGTCATCAGTGTTCTTAACACTTCACCCTCTATATGCACACTCCCTTCTAATAAACAACTTTCCCTGTACCAACATTGAGTTTCTCCAATTTGTTAAACATCACAACTCATTGTTCTTTATTACTACATTCTCTTATCTTAACCTCTGACTTCGTTTCACTCTAATAAGAGATTATATATGCATTTAGTCTAATTTATTATACCTCTGTCTGTTATACTACAAAATGTTGAGCAACGTTTGGCGTTCATATCCAAGTGCCTTGCTGAACTTCTGTTTCGCTTTTTTCTCTTGAGAATCTTGGTCTGAGGGCACAGCTATGGAAATTCTAACGTCTGGGACAAACCTGACGTGCGCGTCTCCTCAAGGTCATGGTTTACAGCAAGCGCTCTACGAGTTTACTTTATAACAGCTATAAACTTAATAAGTTGGGAAGCATGCTGTGTCCCAACAAATGCTGTAATTTTTAGATCATGCCTGTAAAAGTGGCGTGTGCCTGTTCATGCAGAAATATATTATTATTATCACATCTAGATATTTAGGAACTTCTAAAACTTCAGTTAAACTCATGAGACCAGTATGATTGAGGATAGGATCTAACTTGTAGTGTCCCAAACATCCTAGGCTGTGGTTTGCTGGAATACAAAGACCATCAATTAGTAAGGGCAGTAGTACTACAACTCCAATCCAATCTTTTGCAACATTCATCAATCTATAACAAGAAAAATGGCAAAAACAGAGCAAGGGACCAAGAGTAACTATATATATGCAGTAAAGTGTAGTATTATTTTGACATATTCTGATTCATTCGATTATGAAGTATGTATTTACTTGGACTGCCTTTCAGATATTAATAAACTAACAATCTAAGTTATTGTGATTATTCATATAGTTTGTAGGTGAAGTATGAATCGTATCTAGCAAGCCGAACATAAACATGTCTTTGAAACTTCATCAGAAACTCTGACGAAATTCCCGATAACTTACCTAAACTGTCGGATTGTATAAATCACCGCACATCCTTCAGTGAATATTTAAAAGTTCTTTGTATGTTCTTATACGATAATTGCACTGAGAGATCGGTGTTAGGTTAATGCCGAACTCTATGTATCCTTTGGATGAATATCCGCGACTAAACTTTTAGTGTTAGCACTTATATAGTTGGAAGAGCTGTGAAACAACAATCCGTAGCAACGTAAGTAATGTGAGAGCTTGTTGTGAGTAAAATACATCTCAATGACTGACAGATCTCTGAGTTCGAAGGTGTCGCCATGCAAATCTATTAATCTCAACAAGACAGAAAAGAGAAATTACATAATTACATAATAATCTTCGATGAAGCTGTTATAGCAACGACAATTATGTTTCAGTGACTACTTGGTGCTTCACCTATTTTTCAATAAGATGTGCAGTCCTATTCTTCCTAACTGATCTTTATCCATGTTTAAGTATTTCGCTTTAAATGTGATTAGATGTTATGTGAAAGTGACTTCGCATTGTCAGAGGCCCTTTGATACTTAGCTATTTGTTTTGTATGTATAATAATTAAACCTATCACCGAGAAGCGAACACAGCGAAAGCATATGTTTCAAACAAACTCATCATTAAGATGTTCGCGAATGCATCTTATAAAATAACTAGTCGATTAAGTGATAAAAGAGAACAAAGGAAGCATGATATAATCTATCGCAACTTTTTTAAAGACTAGACTGTGCGCAACAATACAAAATGACTGCCCCAGTTCTTTATGAATTTGTTGTACATTGATTTGTGTTTTATTATTCCAAAACGTTTTACACAAGCTCTCAAACCTTTCGTAATTGTTTTGTGTTATCGATATACCTATGTAAATGGATTGAAGTAATGAATTTAGGCAAGGAAGTGGGGGAAAGCAGTGATGGGTTTTCTGAAAAAAGCGAAAACCGGGAGGTGGTTTTTGCCGCTGATGCACCTGCAGATCATTCAAAACGTAAACGTTATTTAACTGCGAAGTACGATAGAAGGACTCGTCAGAAAATTAGCGAAAAAATTCGTCTTGAAAACTTTGTTTTCGAACATCTTCGTACTCTTTATTGCACAGAGGTCAGTGTGAAATTTTTGACATACCCGGTCTTGAAGGTCGATGACTACGATTGTGATATCGATTTGGATGAAATAAGTGATCTTAAGACAAATGATGAGAAAGTGCAAACTTTGAAGGTGACTGAATATATATGTTTTGTTCTAAATTGTTTTGCCTAGGAAAAGCTAAAGTCCTGTCCAGCTAAACAGGAGCAAGTCGATGTAAGCACTTTTTTTAATCATTTTTTGTTTTGTCAAAATTTTCACGTTATTATACTACTTTGCGTCAGCTCAGGGTTTTAAGTCATTCAAGTTTAGGTTATTTTGAAGCTGTTTGCATCGTTTTAGTTGTCATAGACGTTTTTTCTCAATATCTTGTACTATGATTCGCCAGTTGTTAGCCTTTTTGGTTATTGTAATGTCGATTCTTTAAAAATTCAAATTCCGAATAACATTAGTAATAAATAAGCAATAAATTAAGGTAAAATAAGTTACTGTTCAATATTTAGACAAGTCTACTCATCTTATTGGAGAGGGATTAGGCTGAAGACATTCTGGAAATTTCCATGTAATGGCCATTATAAAGATAGATATAGTTGAATGTATCCTAGGCGTAAACAATAATCAGATCTAACAAAAGAGGAAGTAAGCTAATCCATATGAACACTCTGTGACTAAGAAAGCCTTATTATTTTAGTTCTGCATATAAAAGACATTGCTATTTTCGTAAAATTAGTTGCTGGAGACTGAGGAAAATCTTTATTTTTGTGACATGATTATTATAGTCAGTAAAAAATTTGTAATGCTGTTTAATTATTTTCTGACAGATGAGATTTCCTGTTTTACGCTCGTGAATTATCTTTAGCTTTGTGTGGTAGTATGAGGGGCAGGATTACTATATTAATTCTGACTAATCGATATGCGATGTAGAAGTTGACCTATAAAAATGTGTTTTTCACGAGTAATTCTACACGATAATGAACTTAGAAGTGTTAGGTTTCATGAATCTGTCTTCATATAGTCAGTAAATATTTTGATGTTTACTGCTGAAACTAAAACTGCTTTTGAATAGCATTAAGTAACTTGAAGATCTGCTGACCTAACTAGTAGAAACAAACAAAACAAGGTAACTCTCCCACTTAATTCAGGTTATCTGCTTTCTAAAATGTATAAATGTTTCAGGTGACATTTAGTTACTTTTTAAAGACAGAAATATTACTTATGAATAATAGGTGAACAGCTGTAAGCTTATGGCTATGATACATCGTCTTAAACCACTTTACCACTAGTCCAATACTGTAACAGACTAAATTTTATTAACTAGCAAGAATCATTAGTCTTCAAATAAAAACTGGACCAAAAGCCAAAAAAAGCACATTTATTTATTTTGTGGTTTACTCCAAAAATATTAATCAAATAACAAGGCGTCCCAAAAGTCGTGATTTCATGTATAACTAAAGATTGAGAAATACATAAAAGCTTCCAAGTATATAGTAGTAAATTTTGGATTGAGTTCATATAGCCAACTAAAATTTATACGGAGCTCTAGCAGTTCTCAAAGTCACAAGAATCCGCTTTAACTGTACTTTACAGAAATATTGACGATTAGCACATGTTTAACAACTATAGATATTACTTTTTATTTGACTCAAGATTTTAAGTAATAGATATTTTAGTTCACATGACTTCAACAGAATTATGTTCTTGACTGGAAAGTTGGATAGATTTCTAAGTAAAAAGACGTCATTACATAATTAATTACCTAGATGAGAAAAATGTCTAATCCATTATTTGATAGTGAATTAAATTTTGCTTAAACTTTCGTGACATTTTCACTCAAAAACCTTGTGTGGTTTTTGAAGACATGTTGAATTAGCATATAAAACCAAAATAATTTGTAAATCAGTTAAAAAAATGGTGTGACCGTTAAAACTTTACAACAGACCTTCATTTAAAAGGTTTTTGTATTGTATTTTATCACTTGGTGCTTTCAGCCTGCTCGATACAACATTGCAGTAAAGAGTGCAAAACGAATTCAGTATGCTGAAATATCAACCTAATAATTACGTCTTATGTGCTAATATTTTCTTCCGAAATTTTACAGTAAGAACTTAAGTTCATATTTGATTAAAAAGAGCTAGTTATAGCACTGGTACGTCAGTGACTTTTTCTAAACTATTTTACGCATACAGAATATTATTTTTATATCACAATATTTGGGATATTATGGATTGAGGCTGGCGAAACAACACAAATAATTGTCACACCATATGAACAAGTTGGTGGCTACTTAGATTCAGTAGTTTAGTAAGTCACATAAAAGGGTTTTAAGTAATGGATATGAGATAAGATCTAAGTGTGAACATCAACACTGAGACGCCGTTGCAACTATTTGACGACCCTTCGAATAAGGGTCCCAGCAGGCCCTGAACTTTAGTGCTGGCTACAATCCAAAATACACTATAACAAAATTCCGCGGTGATATTGGGTTATTTGCCTAAGCTCATTATTCGACGATAAAAACCTGATCACATTTCAGTCTTAAATGTCATCAAGAGAAATTTAAAACTCCTACGAACAATCATAGTCTAAATTTTGCATTCAGTATTATATAACAGAACTGGAAACGCCTTGCTTCCGCTAACTTCTGAATCAAAGTGTAAAATAAGCGTATGAACGAGTTTGTGCTACAAAAGCCACACAAAATGGTCACAGATTTATCAGTTTATAATAGTTTTAATGCATGCATTCCACCAGATACGTATTTTTTTCAAGTTTTGTGGAACGTTTAAGTGCAGAAATTAATGTCTGTTTTATTTAAAGTCTTATGTTGACCTCAAAGTCTGTTAAGTATTTGTGTTTGTTTCATCTTATGTTTGACCGTTTCTTCGTTTGTTATGCAATTAAAATCTGGATGGTGACCTTAGATCACAATTAATAGTAATAGCAATAATAATAGTATTAATTATAATGACAATAATGAAAGGCTAATCATTTTGTTCGAATTTCTTTAACTGGAAATATTTTATGTTGGGCATCGAGTGGTAAAGATTGGTACGACCGACTAATCTAGATATTAGGAAACGGGCATAACAATTTACAGGAATATTACAAGCTAGTGTAATTTTTCTGAAAATTCATCAAATTAAAAAAAGATTCAATAAGAGTTGGAAATCGAATATACAGTAGACTTTTTGTAAAAAAGCGTAATCAAAATAATCTCAGCGATCAGAATTTAAGTAGTTATTTGGAAAGACCTAGATCAGTCTAACTAACAAAACTCTGAAATCGTTTAAATTTCAATGAACGGAATTGCTTTCAGCATAATGTTTTATACGGTAGTAAACGTTTCTAACAATATCAGCATGTGAACTTTATTTAGCTGTTGGAACATGATAGTGTGGTGTGTGCTACTTACATCGACATAAGTATTTTATGATGTTAGTCAGGAACAAAATGTCTGGCAGCAGAGAGACAAAACGATCGAACAGTAAAGAATGGGAACAGAATGCAATTTGTATGAAACTGCAAGAACAATGAAGTCTGAGTCTTTATGAGACAACTGATGGACATTTTGCAAATTACGTATTTAATTTACGATTGTTAGATTTTATTAACAAGTTCTGTAATTTCGTGTCAAATACATTCGATTGTCCCCACCCGTGTTCTGTTCACTACAACAGGTCGTTTTTTAATGTCAAATTACTGATAAATATATCTAGCACCTTTTGGTATTACCTTATGGAATTACATGATGTTTTTTATAGATTTTATCCTTTATTCATACTCAGTTTACAAATCAGGTGAACTTGCCATTCTCGTTTTAGAACTAAAATGATAGAGACTATATTAAAATTTATCCATATATGGATTATATAAATGTGTGTACGATTATAAGTTCAAAATGACAAGGGCGGACACATACGGGAAGAGAATCAAATAAGTAAAACCTACTGATTTTCAAATGTTTGTTTAATGTTTTGAAAAACTCAAAAATGTTGTTAGTGTATTATATATTTGTCATCATTAATTCACTGTTTATTGTTACAAGTCACTGTTAATGTGTAATACAAAGGATTTTAATCAAAATAGAGGGAATTTGTATTGCTGTTAACATGTGTCATTTCATTTATTCTGTTCTCCCATTAAAAACGTTTGCTACTTTTAATCTTTATGTGGCTTGAAACGGCCGTTGAACATTTACTCTAATGTAACCTAAATATATTTCACTATTCACCCGAAAAATATCATGCTGGTTACGGGATCTAAAGATTCTTGGTTCAATATCTTATTGGGTAATATTGTACTTTATTGAGGAATCTTCAAGTTAGAATGTAACACTTGTTCAGTGCAACTTGGTTTCCGTGATTCTCTCCAACAGAGCCAATAGGTGATAAAAAGAATCGGTAGAAACCTATTTTGTTGAAATGTTTATTTTAATAAAATTCTCAAATTATTTTCTTTGTAAAACGTAGAGCATACAAGAACCATTCAAATAATATGTCCTACAACGAATATTTTTTAAATTGTAAATGGTAGACACAGCCTTCTATAGTAAAATAATGAATTTTAAAAACAACGAATGTTTCTTATTTATTATTCAAGTTATATCAAATGACAACTATCAATAAAGGATGTTTGGGTGTTCACGACATCTGCAGTAGATTCCGATTAAATTCAAATATGATATAACAATTGATTCGATATAAGCTATGGTGAACTTCTTGTTTATTTTAAAAATAGATGACAGGAAAATTTAAAATACAGCAAAAATTAAGTAACGGAAGATTTCAGCCAATGACTACAGATTTTTTGTAGGATACATTGATTCCAAAGTAAATCTATCATAGAAGTAATTCCTAAGCAACAATTTAATTTTGATATCCTTTTCATCATTTATTATTCATGAAGTTTCTGAGACATTAATCTGATTTGCTGTATTCTCAAGGTGTTTAGTGTCGAAAAATATGCTAAATTCCATTTTCTGTAAATTTCTTTGTATATCAAGTAGAATATCTTATTTTACCATTTAATCAATGATCACCTCTAATAGTTCATTAATAAACATGAAGCTGACTTAATTAGGATATGTATTCAATCTAAATTGACTTGGTAATCATGCTGGTTTATAAAGTAATACAAATCAAATAGCCTGAATACTTCAAATTGACGCTTTTCATCACATTATTTTACAATTATAGTGACTTTTCCTTTATAGCGCACACATGAGTTTATCCTAGTTCATGGACAGACAAACGGCTTGGATATTACTTGTTATTTTGTAAATTTGATTCTATTAATAGTTCATTTGTAACCTGCAAGACTTCTCATACATATGTTCTTCTGTGCATCTATCTTTCTTGCATTTTTACATGACTTATAAAAGTGGAGTCAGCTTAAGATACTTTAGATTGGTGTACTATCAAACTCCAGTGCTTTACTCACTAACTGCATAACTTATTGCTTGTCTGGTGTTTACTATCCCGAAGCATGAAATATACCTATTTCAAATGCTTCCAGAGTTTTCTCATTTTTCATTCGGTCGAAAAAAGTATTTATTATCTTTAGTACAGTTTTAAGGGTTGATTATTTAACTGACCGTTATTTCACGACTATCTTTATTCGTATCTTGGTATCAAATCATATTTCTTTTTAAAGTTGAGATAAAAAATGCTTACAATTTATAAGTGTTATTTATTTGTGTAAAACAGAGCATAATGAACAATCAGTCCATTTAAACACATAAATCTGCATAAAAGATATTTCGACAACATAATATAATATCTGAAATATTTTTTATTAATACTGTAGCTTAGCTTTCTTGAGTTCATGAGTTACCAACTCCAAAGTTTTATCTATTCACTCATTTTTTGTCTTTTGCTTGCATATAAATATTTGAAATTAATGCATTCAACACATTTCGTATTTGACACTTATTACTAACAATGTGATTAGCCTAAGTATTCGTGTACAACATGAAATGAGGGATTATATTTCATTTTCGTCGCCATTGGTGGAATCAACTAAAGGTTATAAAATAGTTGAGCTGATTTTCAAACATAACGAGGCTAGCCTCATATAAGTTCGCAAAAGAAAGAAGGCTTTAGAATGTTTACAAAAATCAGATTTAATGCTAATTAATAGATAAAAATAAAAAATACGTGAGACTTTCGATCATTTGTTTTTAGGACAACTTATAAGAAAACTGTCTGTTTATAGAAATATGAAAACACATAGATGACTAAAATATTATGCTAAGTATTTATGTTCTGGAAAATTGTCAGATAATGTTATATTTGTAACTCCATTGGCGGATTTCTAAAAAAGTGTTTGCTTCTAGTGTTTGTTTGTTCATTCATAGAAGAAAAGCATTTAACATTTTAATCATTACAATTTCTCACCTTATTTGTGCTAGCCATAAGTGTGCATAATGGATTATTTATTCTTAAGATTGAATAGTGAGTAAAATTTGGATAAACTTATCCAAGTGTTAAATCTCAAGGAAATTGACCGAGAGGATTTAGCATATAAAAGTAATTTTTAAATTACTCAGCGTAGTCTTTGAAATAAGTTTTATTTTAGATATAGTTACATAAAAAAGTGTCCCTTTATTAGGTTTATGAATTTTACGCAGTAGAATTACTACAAATACGTCAATCTATATTAATCAGTCTTACATGTCTAGTCGCTAATGTCATCTAAATACTACCTATAATATTCATATTGTGACCGATAAGCTAAGAGAATAAATTTTTCGTAATTCATTTAAACTGTAGTTATTATATACTTGGAAAATCTTGAGATCTTACGTTTCTGAGTTTTTCGCTTATGAAACACCATAATGGACAAAATTTAGAGTTTAAAAAATTAAATATTCAAATCCGTCAGATATTTAATAACCTTTAAATGTATTTTGACATAAATCTGTCAAATATATCTTGGAATTTGTAGTCGTCAAACCAACTGATATGGTTGAGAGAAGTTTATGGTTTCATCATTTTGACCCCCAGTTGGTTCACTGAGCTTTAATGACGTTGATACACCATATTACTCTAGACCCTCTATCGTTTGCCTCTTATAAACCCGAAAATTCTAAGGTATCGTGACAAAAAGAATACCTTTACGTAACAAAACTGAAGCCCAGTGGTTTCAATATTGTCTGTTCCAGTCAACTTATTCATTAACAAAACTTGAGAAGAACTTCGATCTTGTTTAATTTGATGGCTATTTCAAAGTTAAAAGCCTGGAAGCACTGGATGGGACTCCTCAGCACTTTGCACCAGTAGTTTTGAGGTTAGGCGTTCGCGCCCGAGACCTAAGGCACTGGGTTTGAATCTCATATGCGGGTCATGGACGCGCACTGCTGAGGAATCCCACACTGTAATAAGGCATTATTTCTAAAAAGTGATTTCATGTATTTAAAATTTTCCTACTTAGTCATCTGAAATGAAAACATCTCTCTCAGTATTTATTGAACTACACATTAGCTAATTTTACAACATCATCAAAGGAAAGATGTAGTCATAATCAACACATAATTATTATCTAAACTATTAATAAAAACAAATCATACAAAAATTATTGATCATCATATTATAAACTATTTAATTTGTTTCGTAACCATAGTATTTCGTATTTTTTTAAACTGGTGCCCATATTTATGCAAGAAAAAGAAAAAAAATGTTCTTTTCATTATGTCAAAAAATAGTGAGAGGATTACAGAAAATAACTTAATAAAATAATATGACATTTTTCAGTAAAATATAAATTTCAGTTGGATAGTATGTAACTAGTACGTTTACTGTATGTAATGAGGTTAAATTCGATCACATAGTAGAATAAGTAATAGATTGAGCCAAAATAATCTGAGAGAATTTCCAACGAGAATTCTAAATGAAATAAAATATGGGAGATGTGCATTCTTAGTTTAAGAGATTTGTAGGGGTTGTTGACTTTTATGACGTAAATTACGAACTGATCATTGTTAGATAACTAGTGAAAACTAGGACGCCATAGAAAACCTTTTGTACTTTTATATGACTACTCAGTAATCCTCATGTGCGACCCGATTGAAGTCTCCAACGACTAGTTTCGAGCGGTAATTTCATGAGTTCTAATGAGAAAGCGTGATGGAAAGAGTTAACTAATGTCGAGTGTAAGACACTTACTGAACAATGGCATTTGAATTCGGTTGCAAAAAGTCGTGAACTGATTCAAGTTAGAAATGTAAACGGTTGAATGTCTATTCAGTAGCCTAAAGTCCATGCGTTCATCGCAAAACCTGATGGTCACATATAGTTAGAAAAACCTTGTAAACTTATTTGTTTATTAAGAATTCTTCAATACGAAATAAAAACGAAATCACTTTGTTGAACAAATTAAAATGTTTTTTTCTAATTAATTTTCACTAATCAATGTTATTTGGATGCCTGTTCTTATCTCTAAACCTTTAACAAAATCTAAAATTTCGAAAAGTTCATAAGATGAAGGACCTCTATCCTGTTATACAACAGTTGTGTAAAAATATCACCTGCTAGAAATCATGAGTGAAATTACTTAAGTAAGAGCTCGAAGACGATGGATAAAGATTTATTTTATCCTTAAAATAAATCTGATTACACTAAATTTTAAGCGATTTATTTAGGGTGAGGTTTGTATAAATTGAATTGAGTCGTATTTAATATCAGTCAATCCATAATTTATTAAATTATAATAGATATACAATACAATAAACAGAACTATCAATGGTCAACAGATATAACTAATATAATGACCCCCTAAAATTTGGTTGTATTTCATAGACGACTGAAAAATGAAATTAATATTGTTTGTTACCCTCCCGATTATAACAAATAGTGTTTGGTAATCTTTCTATCTCAAGTGTCTTTTTACTACGTACACTTTTAACTTCGCTTGAAAACAGTCAGTTTCAAAAGAATAGACAACAGTTATCCAAATTTTATAATAATAAGCTTACTTCTGTGAATAACAGTTTGAATTAATGGAAATTTGAATTTATTGATTATAAAGCAACCAGAAACAACAATGAATCTTCAACTTTAATAGATATTCTTCTACATAGTAATACCCTTTAATGATATAGGGATATTTAAATTATGTAGTATAACCAGTTTTATTTACTAAACAGAAAGTATTCAGCTAAGACTGAAAACTGACTCATTTATTTAAATTTTGAACTTCATGAATACCATATGACCAATTTGTCTCTAGTTGCTATATTTAGTTATCCATATTTTTAACATGTAATGTAGATGCAATTGTTTACTGTTTTGACTTTCTTTCACAATGCAAAGAATTTGATTGGGTTTTAGTGGTTCGCAAAAAGAGGCTTTTTCAATATCACAACATATATTCCAGTACCTTCTAACTGAGTTTCCTTGTCATGTTTACTTATGGTATGATTGGCAAAAATGAGGTCAAATAGTCGGATCTTAGTCTTATTGGTGTGCAAGTAATAGTATAGAAGACTGGGATCCCCAAATCGTTTATGTTTTAAAATGACTTATAATCAAGTTTTATTTTTATATTCAGTATCCTTTATATAAAAACGTTAAGTGAGCTAGAATAAAATCCATTCTCATTTTTATGGTGACGTAACCAGTCGATTAATTTCTCATTCATCTTATTACCAACTTTTAATGTCTATTGTAAATTGTTCCTTGTCCTACGTTGTAGCTGACTGACTGATTCTAGATGGTGTTAAACCTAGTTACATACCGTCAGTTAACTGACAACCATTCGATGAATGTTAATTTTAAATTGTAAAACCTATATTACAGTAATGTAAAGAAATAATATGAAGATAAGTGAAAGAAAATTGGTTTATTTCTCAAATGTCTTCATGAGAATTTTGAAGACTTTATATCATATTTATTGTCGATATTTACGGCTACAAATGCTCAGTGTTTGTCCCCACATGTGCATTTTGAGCTGATGCCTTAAAACACTCTTTCTGGACTTTACTGCAAAGCGCAATTCAAGACTTCATTGAAGATAGTTAACAGATAAAACTTAACACATGTTCTTCATAAATACCAAAGCGTTTCATTACGAGTCATATACTTAGCTTTATAACGAACATTTAATTGCATGGCAATAATTCATTTTTACATTTACCTTTTTCTGATATGCTTTTCTTTTTTTTTTAAAGGAATTTATACAAAACCTTTTACGAAGATTGAAGTAAATTCATCAATTCCCCTTTTTGTATCCAGTGATGAAATCAATCAATATATAAGGAGGTTGAAAACTTCTCGCCAATGTAAACAGCTTTACACTGATAATAAACACATGTATTTTAACAAGTGTATATCATTGTGTGAATGTTGATAATAACTATAATAAATATCTAGCGATTATTACTATGATCACTAGTATTAGTATTTTTAATCCTTAAATATCACTTCCTTGAAATAAAGTAGCATTTTTGTTTCCTAAATAATTTTAAACGATTAAACTGAAGATGTTCAAGAACCAAAATAGTTTCGATTACTAATTTAAAAAGACTAATTCATTTTTTTTCACTTTCGCTGTCTAGTTGTCTTTATATGTTTACCTCTCTCATGACCTCTTGCATTATCATTCTCTTTATTTTTATTATAGTCGTTATTTGCCTTTTTGGACTCGCTTAATGTCTTGTAACTTTCAACAGACACACTCTCTCCATACGTTTTAATCTAAATACTGTATTTGTACTCATACGTCCTTCGAAAATAATGAAAAAAACCAGAATAATGTTTATAACAATCTTACTCTTTTTAAAACTATTACTACCAATATTATTCATGTTATAAAATAACTGATAGTCCATTTTTTGTACCCCTAGTACTTTATGTGCTTGTTATACTAGTACTCAAGTACGTGCGTGCACCCACGTCTATTGTATCGTTTTATATCTCTTATATAAATATTCCAGTCAGAATATATTTCTGAGTGTCAATGTATAAATAAAATGGAGTTTAAAGTGTTAAGATTGTTTAGTGTTATTTTTTAGTTATATTGAAATCATGAACCGATCATGTTAGATCACCACTGAAAACCTGAAAGCAGTGGAATACTGTTATGTGCTAATATGGGTCTTCTCATCAGTGCGCATCCACGATCCAACATGCTGGACTCGGACCCAGGACCTTTAGTCCCACGCGAACGCCTAACCTTCGGACCACTGAGCCGGCATTCATCGGTGATTATGTCTAACTTCAACCAATCCACGAAATCGTGCGACCATCTTCTATTGTCCTTGATGTGTAACTGCTCCACACTCGACACGGATTAGCATCACTGACTACAGCTTCTCGCTAGAACTTCAGGAAATCCATCTTAAATCAAGTCACTAGTGAGCACATGGTAATTATCAGCATGGGGTTGTGAAGATTGTTGAGTTTTTTTATTGAGATAATGAATCGATGAATGTTAAACCACCATTAAAAGCCTGCTTGATCATCTGGGCTACCTGTTCCTGCCATCTAGATATTTCAACAAGTTATCTATTTTTGTTTGTTTTAATATATCATTATGTTTATTAATCGCACAACCTATTCTGCTGCGTTTCTGAAAAGTTTACAACCTTTCGTTGTCAAAGTTACAAACAACTCAATAAGGGACAATGTGGTTGCTGGCAATATACAACGGAAAGAATGCACATTATTCAGATGTTCATTTAGTGAACTGCTAACATCTAACTGGCGATCACTCAGTATTTATCGCCAGGACCGACGAAGAAGAAAGAAACGGAAACTTGTTGAAATACTTTACGCTGAGAATTCTATATTGTACCAAAAATATAATATTGAATAAAGCTGATAATAATAATAATTGAAGCACTGGATGGCCATTTTGTTAAAGAACGGTACTCTTCAGTAGTGCACTTGATTAACTTTGGGTAATTGTCTATTAGTTGGCTTGTATGGTGATTCGTGTCCTTTTTTTCTGTTTTCAGGCAATACCGAAAGGAACGAAAATATTGATTTCAGGTTCAGTTCATGCTCGACTTCACAAACAAGCTATATATATAAGCAACTATGAAAGTAGTTTTTTTCCAAGATATTCTGGTAGTATTTTAATGAAGTTAACATTCAAACCCTCTGTTGAAGAGCTTAATCTTAGTTCAGATTTGATGTGGTTAAGTTTTTTAACTCATCATAGTGTTTGGTGATATTTCCATTGAAAAGCAAGCCTATAAAGTATAACTCACCCGTATGGCATAAAATCATTGAGTACAGAATATCGATACTTGATATTGATGCACAACAGTGCTGTTAGTCTAGGAATAAGTAAGTTGAAATGGTTCACCGCAGTTTTTTCATTGAAATTATAGAGCCATGTTAGAAAGAAGTTAGAAATTCTGTTTTTGAGCTAGTATAAAAACGATTTTGATGTAACAAAAAACATTTGAGTAGATTGATTTCGTGGTAGGTGTAATGCAATTCAGTGGCTAAGCTCGAGTCAACTAACTAAAGGTTCATCGACTCTAATAGTCAAAGTGTCATAACAGAACCTTAAAGGATCTTTAGAAGCAAGTCACTAATGATATAATTTTGATTCGATGTTTGTGGAGACTGAGTTATACAACAGTGAATTACTGAGATAACCGAACTATTTTAAATTTTTTTCTTTTCAATCCAGGTACCAGAATCGTTGTAATACCAGTCACCAAGAACGATATATTATGGGATTTTCAAAAATGCACATACAAAATATATATATATATATATATATATATATATATATATATACTATATGTCTTGTTATTTCTGACTAGATTTAATTTTATGAAGAAAGGTAAGGATCAATCGAAAAAACCTGGGACTTAAGTCGACCCCAATGACAAAGTTTATTTTAGCCTAGACATAAGATAGAACTTAATTAACCGATAAAGATAAATTATGAAACTAATCTCAAGGAGTTGAGCATAATATAATACAACTAAGTGTGTACCATAACTGATAAATTCATGAGTTGGAACAGTACATCAAAAGAGCACTCGAAAAATTACTTAATCAGATATTGAAACATTTTAAAGTTCCTCAAAAACAACTAAAATCGTCCTAAAGGAAATGATAGATGAAAATCATAGTTCACTTTTAATCATTTCAAGAAAAGGATCGGAATTTTTAACTGCTCAAATATACATCTAAAATTCAACTTCGTTCGAAATGTTTTTAAATACTGTGATTCAGTGTTATCAAAGAGGATGACTGATTTCTAACTCCAAATTGCATTCATTTTTATTTCCTGTGATGAGTTCGGAAATTAAATAAGAAAAGTTGGTATCACATTAAGTACTCAATTAAATATTTAAGACTAATCGTAGTATGTATTTGAAAACATTGTAGATCAACAATAAGTTTACTAATGAACCTAAGAAAAAATATTTATACAAGGATTAGGATTTTAAAAAGGAATGAAAATGAATTGTTGATGAGTAGGCATAGTATAAAGATGAGCGTAATATCTAATCTTTATGAAGTAGCTGCCTTAGGAATATCATTTCTTTTATTCGTCAATCTTTCTAACCAAACAATCCTGTTACTACAGTGGATTTTAGTGAAAAGGTATTAGTGTTTTAAGAGATGTTGTTATTTACAGGGATGCTAACTTACGTATACTCAGTGAGTAATGGAAACTTCAGACATCTGATATTAGACGGAGCCTAATAATTTGGGATAACTACAAGTAAAGTTCATTAACAACAAATTTTGATTTTAAGTAAAGATATTTTAGTACTGAGGAGTTGTTCATTGAGTTAATTCAGTGTTGAAGTACCAGAGATCATTAGACAACTGTTCTGTCCTAACATGTGACTCCTCATCAGTGCACATAAGCTATCCAAGGAGTGGTGATAACTTAATCAATGACCCACTTGGTTGACATCCGGTTGTAAATATCTAAAAGTCTAATCAATTAGTGGTATAACATGGTGATTATTTAATATCATTTATGACTAATTCGCCTTCAACATGAACAAATCCCGACGGTTATGAATTCATAAGAGTTCACTTCGCAAAACAAATATCCTATGTATTATCACTATCAGATCCACGTGTACATATTGCTCAGTGGTCTCATAATAGAACGAAACCGTTGTCCAATAATCCCTAATATTTAGCGGACCTAACAAAAATCACCTAGTATTCTGAATAAATTTCTCCATCGAAATAACTCATAATAATCTAAAATTTTATCAATATTTATTCCATCATCGATTTTTAACATTCTGTAGCATGACTTATATTTTTTAACGTCTACATTTGATAATTAGTACTCTTTATCATTTAACATTATCATCGATGTTTAAAACAAAATATCTGAGAAAATATTTGATAATTTCTGAACCAATAATATTGATAATTCTCTGATAAGTAATTTCTCTTAAAAAATGGTTTTTGTTGTTGTTGTATTTACTCAGACAAAGATATGAAACCAAACAAATTGTAAGAGTAAAATTGTTCTTTTATTTTGTACAATAAAACTCTATTCATTGGCCTAATTGTAATTTTTTTTTAAAACTGTAGCTACATAAATATATTTTGTTTATAATATTGAAATTTTTCTTTTCTGTAATGATTTCAGTAAAATTTATGTACCGTTTTACATTCCACTAAAAAAGCTTTAAATTTTGAATTCTTGAATTGATCTCGTTTTAATTCATACAAGAAAGATCATTTATCATTCAGTGAAATGGATAAAGTTTAAATGATGAAATTAATTAAGTACAGCAAAATTTGTAAATTATATTTTAAATCTCAAATTGTGAAATCAATATTGTTGATTAACTCCAGAGACTTGTTGGTTTTGAATTGACACCATCTTCAGGCATAAAGAAAAACGTGATGTGGCTTTTATAAATTTCGAAAGCAACCTAGCTGAAAACAGAAAAATCACATTCTTATTAGCCATCGGTAGTAAATTTAAGCTAGAGTATTATGACTAGAAAGTCTTTTTTTGATAAAAATCAATTACCGTGTAATGAATGTCAATACGCTGACCTAATTCCCTTAGCAAAAGACGAACTTAAGCAACCACTACTGATGTGCACTGAAAATGTTCAATTTCAATTCAACAATATATTGTACCGTCGAGTTTATAGAGTGATTATGGAGAGTCCTCTGGGTTTAATATCGAGAGACTTGTTTATGTTGAACCTAGAACAAACAGTTGTGAAATCAACAGATA